ATGTAACTTATAAATGCCTCATGAGCTGAGTTCAACTGTGAGAGTGGTCACATTTCTCCAGCCCCACCCCTCAGCTGTTTACCAAAACAAATGACAGGGTGGCGGTTTTGTTATATTTCCAATCCCAGATTTCCCCTTTAAGGAATCCAGGACAGAAAAGTTCCTGGCATGGGGCACGGGGCACGGGGCACTGCGACAAACACCGGAAGAATTATAACTGTGAATCATTGTAATGTTGTATCATGTAATGTTTGTTTATGTGTAAATTAATCCCATAAAGGATGGGCTGCCAATTGGCAATTGGCAATTTGACACCAAATAATTGAATAAATTATTTCATTTATTTCGGAAGGGCCCCAATGGCAATATAGTGCCAGGTTTAGCCACAGAGCTGCTAAATTAAGTGTATGGTTAGGGTATGATAAATTGTAATTTGCTCAGTGAAAACCTTTTGGGGACTGGCAGAAGTCCATAGAGATCCTCTAGAATGTCCAAGAATAGCCCTGGTTCCAGACTTTGCCAAACCTTGGTGTGGGATCGTTATGTGTTGTGGCTGAGGGTTTTAAAAAAAAAGGTTCTTAATGAATGTTCTGAGATTTGACAGTAGAGATTTGTAGTCATAGAGATCCTATAATTCAGGGTTATATGCTTCTTTCTATATGTAATTCTATGATTGTAGTATTGTAGGTGGTCTGGCTATAGAGAACACTGTGCGACAGAATGCTACAAGATTATAACAACAGAAACATAATTGGGTTGATTAGTGCAACGGACCTGACCCCATTACTGTCTGGTGTTCTATCACCAATTTAGTAAATGACCTCCCCTGTTCAAACGCTACTAGAAACTACTGTAAACAGAGCAGTGTGTGACCAGTTGAGTCACAAAAACTGTCACACAAAAATGCACTCACAGAGCTCAATCTGACCACTTTAGACTAGCCACATCCTGGGTGTGGTTGAGGCACCTCTTAAAACAAGCAGAAATCTGTCTGCCACACACACACACGCACACACACATACACACAACCCTAATTACAGACATACACACACACTAATCTGTTGACAAACACCTCAAAATAGCCAACACAGAATAAATCAGAGGTCATCACCAGTTTAACATTTAAGCTCTCAGAGGCCATTTCAGCAGGGCCATTTCAGTCTCACAGTTGCAGTCGTCTGAGCCTATTTAGGAGCTGACACTAAAGTGAGTAAACAGCATAGGACACGGCTTTCAGCATTGGACACTGCCTTCCCATTGAGGCTTTCAGGCCAATTTCACACAGCTGGTAGAAGTGCTGCTGTCAAACCTGAGTGTAGGCTGTGACATTGTCGGGGCAGACTTAATTCACTTTTCCGCCTCCTCCCAATTTACCCCGGCAACAGGGCCGCTGACGTCGTGGGAGTGCTGCGCTCGGGACCACTTTCTGTTGGCTGGATGAGCATGAGAGAGCCCGGTTTGTGTGTCTGTGTGTTTGCCAAGTATGTGTGTGTTTTCTCTAAGTGTGTGTGAGCTCGCCAACTGTATCTGTGTGTGTGTGAATGTATGGGAGCTCGCCGAGTGTGTATGTGTGCCAGTGTGTTTTAGCACGCAAGTGTGTATGTGTGAGTGCGTACACAAGTGTCACCTTCAAAGAGTCACCTTCACTGAGCCTACCTCACCCTGCTCCTACCACACACTTTGAACAGAGTTTGCAAGAGCTGCCGAGGATGCGCCTCGCTCACACACACCCTCCCGCTCCCCAATACACACACACCCTCCCTCTCCCCAACACACACACACCCTCCCTCTCCCCAACACACACACACCCTCCCGCTCCCCAATACACACACACCCTCCCGCTCCCCAATACACACACACCCTCCCTCTCCCCAACACACACACACCCTCCCTCTCCCCAATACACACACACCCTCCCTCTCCCCAATACACACACACTAAATACAGAGCAATAAAAATGTTCAAACAGGCATCAGGAATTCAAAATGAGTAGGGAAGTTGGGAGACAAAGAAAGAATAGCCCAAGTACATGAGAAGCACTTAGGGACCTCACATACTTCTGCAGTCAAATGAATTATCTTTACAGTCCCCCCCATGACATTATTTAATTAGCGTAAAAGCTAGCTAGCGCTTAAGCTTTTATTTTCTGGGAAGTGGGTAATGTACTATGGAGTCAGGGCTTGGCTAAGCACTGTTTTGTTGTGCACATAGATAAGCATGGCCGTGAACTTTTAAAGTCATATTAAATTATTTATGGCATATAAATAGGGTCATGAATATTTAGAGTCGAAATTGCCTGCAAAGCATATAATGGTGTCACTGGCTAAAAAGCTAAGAGGCTGAAATCATGCACCTCCCAATTGAACCGCGTATTGCCCAACCACAGTACATCCACTTTGGTGTGGGAGGGTAAAACTGAGTCAGTGTTGCTGACGTGATCGGACTCTTTCTGGTTTCTGTGTGCACGCTGAAAGCGGATGACTTTGCAGACCATTCTCTCTCTTTCTGTGTGGTATGTAAACTCAGCAAAAAAAGTCCCTTTTTCAGGATCCTGTCTTTCAAAGATAATTTTGTAAAAATCAAAATAACTTCACAGATCTTCATTATAAAGGGTTTAAACACTATTTCCCATGCTTGTTCAATGAACCACAAACAATTAATGAACATGCACCTGTGGAACGGTCGTTAAGACACTAACAGCTTACAGATGGCAATTAAGGTCACAGTTATGAAAACTTAGGACACTAAAGAGGCCTTTCTACTGACTCTGAAAACACCAAAAGAAAGATGCCCAGGGTCCCTGCTCATCTGCGTGAACATGCCTTAGGCATAATGCAAGGAGGCATGAGGACTGCAGATGTGGCCAGGGCAATAAATTGCAATGTCCGTACTGTGAGACACCTAAGACAGCGCTACAGGGAGACAGGACGGACAGCTGATCGTCCTCGCAGTGGCAGACCACGTGTAACAACACCTGCACAGGATCGATACATCCGAACATCACACCTGCAGGACAGGTACAGGATGGCAACAACAACTGCCCGAGTTACACCAGGAACGCACAATCCCTCCATCAGTGCTCAGACTGTCCGCAATAGGCCTGTTGTAAGGCAGGTCCTCACCAGACATCACGGGCAACAACGTTGCCTATGGGCACAAACCCACAGTCGCTGGACCAGACAGGACTGGCAAAAAGTGCTCTTCACTGACGAGTCGCGGTTTTGTCTCACCAGGGGTGATGGTCGGATTCGCGTTTATCGTCGAAGGAATGAGCGTTACACCGAGGCCTGTACTCTGGAGCGGGATCGATTTGGAGGTGGAGGGTCCGTCATGGTCTGGGGCGGTGTGTCACAGCATCATCGGACTGAGCTTGTTGTCATTGCAGGCAATCTCAACGCTGTGCGTTACAGGGAAGACATCCTCCTCCCTTATGTGGTACCCTTCCTGCAGGCTCATCCTGACATGACCCTCCAGCATGACAATGCCACCAGCCATACTGCTCGTTCTGTGCATGATTTCCTGCAAGACAGGAATGTCAGTGTTCTGCCATGGCCAGTGAAGAGCCCAAATCTCAATCCCATTGAGCACGTCTGGGACCTGTTGGATCGGAGGGTGAGGGCTAGGGCCATTCCCCCCAGAAATGTCTGGGAACTTGCAGGTGCCTTGGTGGAAGAGTGGGGTAACATCTCACAGCAAGAACTGGCAAATCTGGTGCAGTCTTAATGCAGCTGGTGGACACACCAGATAATGACTGTTACTTTTGATTTTGACCCCCCCTTTGTTCAGGGACACATTATTCAATTTCTGTTAGTCACATGTCTGTGGAACTTGTTCAGTCAGTTTATGTCTCAGTTGTTGAATCTTGTTATGTTCATACAAATATTTACACATGTTAAGTTTGTTGAAAATAAACGCAGTTGACAGTGAGAGGATGTTTCTTTTTTTGCTGAGTTTATGTATGTATGTGTGTGTCCCGTTGCCCCCACAGGCAGTGTCAGCCAGCAGAAGGACTGAACACATCGAGCAAAGCACCTGGGTCCAAACAAAGGGACATTCACTCATTTAAAAAGCCCTTACAGTCATTTCATTTTTTGCTCTATATTTGGGAAAGTACATGTACAGTATATGACTACTTCCTTTCAAACTAAATTAGCTATTTGCATATTTTCGGTTGCTCCATTTTCCATTTTCTGTTAGATAGCAGCACACAGTCACCATCTGTCTCTTATGTGCAGCGCTTTAGGCTGCTCAGGGCCAAGCACATGCTGCCAGTTGGGAGTTAAACCTTGCCATATCCGGAGAGACACTCCCGTAAGGACAACAGCTGCTTGGGTTGAAAAACTCACTCACTGCCTCCTGTGCTTCTGTACCAACATGTCAGAATAACTGGTTTTATTGTATCACATGCTGCATTTACACAGGCAGCCCAATTCTGAACTTCTGGCAAATTACTGGCAAAAGAGCTGATCTGATTGGTCAAAATACCAATTAGTGGAAAAAGATCAGAATTAGGCTGCCTGTGTAAACACAGCCTTGTTTCTCTATGTCTAAACTATTACAACAACACCTCCAACCGCTGTACCTCCATTGTTTCCATCACAGGGGCTCAGTTCTTGTGAGTGCACCACAATGAGGTGGTCATTGTGGTGGTCAGGTTGAGTGTGTTGAGATGTCCATTTTAATCCACTTTTTAAATAAAGTTTGATATGATTAAAATGAGACATCAATTTGGATAATCCACCGTTCTGCCTAAATAACATTCAAAGTGAATAATGCCAAGCATATTCAATTAGCATTTTCAAATGAATATTGGCAGCTTAATGCTTCCATACTAAACAGCTTGTCTAATAGATTCTATGTGAATTTAAACTGGGCAACTTGTAGTTGTGGAGTGGCTCTCATAAATGAATATTGGCAGCTTAATGCTTCCATACTAAAACAGCTTGTCTAATAGATTCTATGTGAATGTAAACTGGGCAACTTGTGGAGTGGCTCTTACTATTCTGGCAGTGGACTCCGTCAAAGCCATCTTGGCACTTGCAGATGTATTCGCTGAAGACGTCCCCTCGGCGTGACTGGCCAGTCACCTCACAGATGGCATCGTTCTTGCAGGGGTTGGGGTTGCAGGGCCCTGGGAAGCAAATATAACTTATTATTAACCCTTATTTTACCAGGTAGGCTGACTGCGATCAAATTATATTTTTACAGCAATGACCTAGGGCAGAGATGCAAGGGAGGGGGAGAGGGAAGGATAGTATTAGGGCCAGATTGGCAATACAGTGTAGTACAGAGACAGCCTCTCAGACATTTCCTCTAACACTGTCTATGTACCATCTGTCGGTGTATAACACCTTTATGAAGCCTCCGAAAACACCCATACTGCATCAGAAGACTTACTATAAGCATTCATAACAGCTTGGGACTTTATTAGGATTACCATTAACTGACGTCATAACGACAGCTAGTCTTCCTGGGATCTGACACATAATGAAAAAATACATTACAGACAAAAATACTTCACAATTTACTTTTTAAAAAGTATTAACATGTAGACATTACAGACAGTTTAAATACCTGAAAGGTAACATTTAATAATAATATTCAGGGATCAGTATCTGTCCAGTCATGTTTGATCTCATTAGATGTATCTTTAATGTTTTCTTGAATGTGAATTTACTTTTTGCTTGGGAAATATGAGTTGGTATAACTGGCTTACATATAACTTTACAATTTAATAACTATACTTGATACTCAATTCAAAGACCTATAATAGCTATAATGTAGATATGAATACTGTTATTTTCTCCGTACCAGCCTCTGTGTCGTTGCAGGTGTCCCCGGTGTATCCGTCGGGGCAGATACAGATGAAGGGGGCTCCGGCCCCGGTCACACAGGTCCCCCCATTACTGCAGACGTTTATCTCACAGTAGTCACCTGGGGGAGAGAGGAACAGTCAGCATTATTGAAGTCAAAATACCTCTTTCTCAAGGGAGAAAGGCCATTGTTTATTCAACAATGTATACAGATCGGCATTGACACAATGTTTTCCCATAGTGAACAATGTTTCTAGCCTGGTAATTCCTACAAAGTTAATACATTAACCTTTATATGTCAAAGGATCAAAAGATCCTAACTTATTGGGAAAGCAAATATAATGTACATTTGCCTGTTACACTGTGTGACGATTTCACATTCATAAATGTTTTAGCATAGCAATATGGCCAGTTGGCTTTCCCTGAGGGGAGAGAGAGAGCGAGAGAGAGAGAGGGAAAGGGTCTGATTGTTTGGCATTTCCTGTCTGTGGTGACACAGAGCGATTGAGTTAACACACTGACACCACACCGTATACTCCTATTACATTTAAGTCATTTACAGTGAGGGAAAAAGGTATTTGATCCCCTGCTGATTTTGTACGTTTGCCCACTGACAAAGACATGATCAGTCTATAATTTTAATGGTAGGTTTATTTGAACAGTGAGAGACAGAATAACAACAACAAAATCCAGAAAAACACATGTCAAAAATGTTATAAATTGATTTGCATTTTAATGAGGGAAATAAGTATTTGACCCCTCTGCAAAACATGACTTAGTACTTGGTGGCAAAACCCTTGTTGGCAATCACAGAGGTCAGACGTTTCTTGTAGTTGGCCACCAGGTTTGCACACATCTCAGGAGGGATTTTGTCCCACTCCTCTTTGCAGATCTTCTCCAAGTCATTAAGGTTTCGAGCCTGACGTTTGGCAACTCGAACATTCAGCTCCCTCCACAGATTTTCTATGGGATTAAGGTCTGGAGACTGGCTAGGCCACTCCAGGACCTTAATGTGCTTCTTCTTGAGCCACTCCTTTGTTGCCTTGGCCGTGTGTTTTGGGTCATTGTCATGCTGTAATACCCATCCACGACCCATTTTCAATGCCCTGGCTGAGGGAAGGAGGTTTTACATTTACATTTTAGTCATTTAGCAGACGCTCTTATCCAGAGCGACTTACAGTTAGTGAGTGCAAACATTATTTTTTATTTTTCATACCGGCCCCCCGTGGGAATCGAACCCACAACCCTGGCGTTGCAAACGCCATGCTCTACCAACTGAGCTACATCCCTGCCGGCCATTCCCTCCCCTACCCTGGGCCAATTGTGCGCCTCCACATGGGTCTCCCGGTCGCGGCCGGCTACGACAGAGCCTGGATTCGAACCAGGATCTCTAGTGGCACAGCTAGCACTGCGATGCAGTGCCTTAGACCACTGCGCCACTCGGGAGGTCTCAAGGCAGCTGGGACCATAGTTTTCACCCAAGATTTGACGGTACATGGCCCTGTCCATCGTCCCTTTGATGCGGTGAAGTTGTCCTGTCCCCTTAGCAGAAAAACACCCCCCAAAGCATAATGTTTCCACCTCCATGTTTGACGGTGGGGATGGTGTTCTTGGGGTCATAGGCAGCATTCCTCCTCCTCCAAACACGGCGAGTTGAGTTGATGCCAAAGAGCTCCATTTTGGTCTCATCTGACCACAACACTTTCACTCAGTTCTCCTCTGAATCATTCAGATGTTCATTGGCAAACTTCAGACGGCCCTGTATATGTGCTTTTTGAGCAGGGGGACCTTGCGGGCGCTGCAGGATTTCAGTCCTTCACGGCATAGTGTGTTACCAATTGTTTTCTTGGTGACTATGGTCCCAACTGCCTTGAGATCATTGACAAGATCCTCCCGTGTAGTTCTGGGCTGATTCCTCACCGTTCTCATGATCATTGCAACTCCACGAGGTGAGATCTTGCATGGAGCCCCAGGCCGAGGGAGATTGACAGTTCTTTTGTGTTTCTTCCATTTGCGAATAATCACACCAACTGTTGTCACCTTCTCACCAAGCTGCTTGGCGATGGTCTTGTAGCCCATTCCAGCCTTGTGTAGGTCTACAATCTTGTCCCTGACATCCTTGGAGCACTGTATGGTCTTGGCCATGGTGGAGAGTTTGGAATCTGATTGATTGATTGCTTCTGTGGACAGGTGTCTTTTATACAGGTAGCAAGCTGAGATTAGGAGCACTCCCTTTAAGAGTGTGCTCCTAATCTCAGCTCGTTACCTGTATAAAAGACACCTGGGAGCCAGAAATCTTTCTGATTGAGAGGGGGTCAAATACTTATTTCCCTCATTGTAGCAGACGCTCTTATCCAGAGCGACTCACAGGAGCAATTAGGGCACATCAGATCTTTCATCTAGTCGGCTCAGGGATTTGAACCAGCGACCTTTCGGTTACTGGCACAACGCTCTTAACGGCTAGCCTATCTGCTGCCCCTATTAGGCCAAGGGACAGGACAAGAGATGATACAGCACTGACTGTCATGAGTGGCTTGGCTGCGCTGGCCTAGCCTGCTGACACTGTAATACTAGACACACAGACACTGGATGTTTCCAGTCACTAGTGCATCTGGCTCCACTGTGGTCAGTTAGCCCACAGCATATCAAGCTTTAGGCGTGATGCCCACAGGGGCAAATCAGACCCTGCGTCCCAATAATCTTTACTTTCTCCTGAAGTGTGTACTTGTACACTCCTCCCCACAAGTGTAAAACCATTGGATTGGTCTAGAAATGGGCGACATGGAGTTTCCAATATATTTCTCATTGAGGGAATACAGTGTCACTAGGGAAAAAGAAAGCAATGAGGGGAAATTTGTGCTTAAAAAATGCTGATTGTAGATTAGACAACTGGAAAAAGTGTAGAGTCTCCAGTATAGACAGTGATAATTTAGAAGGAACTTTGACACTACGAAGAATTGTGATTTGTGAAGGAAGTGGGGAACACTAGATTGCTGTGAACTGTTGCTAAAGACACTGTAGACTTGGCACTTTACCAAATGGACACTGACCATTTGGATAATGTTCAATTAAATTGAGGTAAGAAATATAGACAAACTGTATATAGGCCATCCATCTTTGGTTAAAACCAATTGCTAATTATGGGTTCAACATAAAGTGAAAATAAGCTCATGTTCACAATAATACAGTGAGTGCCCTAAACAGACTCTTCCAGACTTCTGCCTCATATTTAGTTCCCAGACGCCCACCTCAAACATAGGTTGGAAAGTCGTAGGAGTAGTAGAGTATGTTTGGAAAGCTACTGTAAACTCCTGGAGACTGTCATTTTGCTGAGGTTATAGTAGTTCTCAGCGGTCCTGGCCTCCCACAAGGCCATGGTGAAAATGGCACGTTCACGAGAGACTCCAAACTTCCTGTGTCACAATCTTCCCCCTCTCTATTTCTCTGGCATCAAAACACACCAGAACCTCTGTGCAAAGTTTATCCAGGGTGAACACGGCTCAAAGACGTGCCAGTGGAGCTCACATCTTCATATCCTGTTTTGGGAACAGACTAAATGTGGTTTCAGTACAGTAGCTCCCCTGTTCAAATACTTTAAAGCCCACCCATCCTTCCTCATTCTAGAGGTAATCACAGATCATAAGTGTTTGATTTCGATAGGATGAAGAAAATCTGCCACCTAATTGCTTTCCCCAATCCAAATATGAGGGAAGGATGCATTTCAAAGTATTCAAAGAGGGCCATCATCCAATACCTTTTGGTCTTCCTCAGTCGGATCTTCATTTTTAGGAGGGGAATTACAAATGCCATCCATCTTCTTTTTCACAATGTACTGTATCTCTATTTGGCAAGAACCTGCTAATAGGGATAGATACTGAACAGATGTGAGTGCGTGATACATTTGCACCAACATCCTGTTTTGCGATGTAGCCTAAGGCCAAGTCATCAACATGCATTTCCCAGAGGTATCAGTGTTACAGTGGTGCCATGGCCTTGATGTGTTTTGAGTCTCAGTCTCTGGAAGTTGCAAAATGGCAAAGCCTTGGCTGGCATCACCCACACGGCCTTATCTAAATGTTTCAGTTCATTTATCTTTAGGAAGGAATGAAACCTCCCTCTTCCTACCACGCAGCAGACAGCTCCTTCAGAAAAACCTTGATTGCCAAGCAAAATGTAGGCCTAGTCCATGTTGAAAGAGTGACCTTCTGAACGATGACCTAATTTGTGCAGATAGTACATTCCCGTTTCACAGAGTTTTATTTTCTTTTGTGCCTACTGAGCACAGCCCTGGTCTTACAAGCTGAACTGTGGATCATGTGCTACTTACAGGGTTTGTGAGGAAATTCAATTAGGGACACAATTATTGTCAAATGGTTACAGCTTAGAAACAGTGGTCTAACCACAATGGTTCCCTTAAGCTAACATATATCATTGTTTTAAGACCTCTCATATCATGGATCATTTAACTATTTGATTTTCGGTATATTTATTATTATATGATACAAATTGAATTTGGCCTTTACTACTATAGTCCATAGAAACGTACTGAATAACACATTCATAAAATGGCAAAAAGACAGTCAAAAAATTAATCATAAGAAATAAGGTTTTTAAGTGGCTGTCCTATATCTAGGAGATAAAAACAAAAATATTTCCTGAGCTTTCTTAAGGACACATATTTAACCCCTTATTTTTGTTGGCACAAAACTACCTCCATACTTCCATTCATTTGTATGGGTTACATTCAGACAAGTTTTGTGGGGGTCGTAGAGCGAAACGGAGAACACCATTGTGTTCGTGAGAGTCTTCCCTTTCCACAATGCGGTCATATTAGTTTGTAGCCCAAACGGTTCCGACGCTACAGACAGAAGATGTCACATCGGCGTTACCGACTTCAGACTTTCCGTGAGAAGACTGATTTTTCGGGATGTCTCATGGTCTGACAAACACCGGTTGTTTTTCTACTTACCCAGAGTCAGACGAACTCATGGATACCATATTGATGTCATCTGAGTGTAGAAAAACGCAGTATACCTTTAAGATATTTTGTTTACATTTTTATAGCAGCTTTGAAATTGGATCCCACTGCTGCCACCAAATGTGACACTATTGTTACTGC